TCCAGTGAAGTATTTTTGCCTTCTATTTGATATAAGAAAGCATTTAAGAGTGATATGAAGGAAATCACTGTAATTTACTATTATCCCCCTGCATTACTTGATCAGAATATTTTATTTACTCTCATTTTTTATAATATCTTGTGGACTTATAAAAAGATCCACTCACAATAAAACAATAAAGAATAATGATTATGTATGTGGTTTGGTGTTTTTCCTTGGGAGACTGAAAGAATCGTAAAGGATTTTAAAATAAATTAATTTAAAATTTTAATCTATAGGTACAAGATTTTCCATGAATGCATGATAAAATAATTTACAATCAGACCAATAATTTACAAATAGATCAATTTGTAATTTCAAAATTATTTCACTTCCCAGGTATTGCTGAGCACATTCCATGTAAAGTACAGAAGGCCTGAGGCGTGGGAAGTGAGCAGTCTGCATTGCTGCAGTCAGTCAAGTGACTCAGGCTTCAAAGCAGGTGAAGTTAAATTGCTATACTATATATGGGAATTAAATCTACACATTTATATTCCCATATTGGTACAATAAATAATACCAGTCAAAGAATGTGAAAAGTCTGAAGAACAAAATGAACACTAATAACATTTTCTTGGAAATATATTATTTTTCTTTTCCTTAAATATTTTATTTATTATTTTCATTTTATGTGTATGAGTGTATTGCCTGCATGTATGTGTGTGCACCCATGTCATGCAATGCCGCGGAGGTCAGAAGAGGGCTTCGGATTCCCCTGGAACTGGAGCTAAAGACGGTTTGTAGCTGCCACGTGGGTGCTGGGACTCGAACCTGGGTCCTCTGGAAGAACAGTCAGTGCTCTTAACCTCTGAGCCATCTCTCCAGCCCCGGAAATATACTACTTTTATAAATAAGTTGACACAGATCAATTTCACATTTAATAACTTAGAAAAACAAAGCCAGTGTTTCTTATTTTCATATGCAAAAGCAAAGTACTAGTTGGAGTGTACATAATTTAAATATGCCTTAGAAAGGAAGAGAGATTAACTTATTAAATTCTTTCACATGCAATATGTAAATATGATAACTTAAACTCATTGCGTTATAGTATCCTTTTAAACTAAATGTTATCTATTAAGTATTCTAAAATTATTTCTCAATGTAGAAATCTAGTTTTTGATCTTTTTTTCTTTGTATTTTTCCAGTGTTGGGAACTGAACCGAGGGCCTCAGGCATGTTAGGCAGCAGTGTACCACCAAGCTATCTTCCCAGCCCTTTTCTTTTTCATCTATAAACAGGTTTTCACTAAGCTGCTTAGGGTGGCCTTGGGTTTGCTCTCTAGCCTAGCTCTCTAGGGCTTCAAGTTGTGATCCTCCTGACCCAGCCTCTGGAGTGAGCCTTTTCAACAGAAGTTTTATCTTCCCTTTTAGGACATACTGTTTTGAAATAATGAATTATATTTAAATGATTCCTTACTATTTGCTGTTTGCATCAATTTTGTATGTGGTCCTTTTTGAAGAAACAAAGCATTATTTTCTATATAACTATGCATCAATCTTGTAGCCACTTTATATTAGTCTTTTACAACACTCATTTTGATGCTACAGACATAGATTAACAATATCCAATAAGTTACGAATATCATTTTTTACTAGTGTTAACATACCACTTACAATCAAGAGCAGAACTGTCCACCCACAGTGATAATGATCACGATTATAACTGCCCTTGCTTCTAACTATCACTATGGATCATTATTTTTTTGAAAAAATGTCTAAATCTCTTCATACATAAAATATGTGACATCTTGTTTGCTTGGTACAAAAACAAAACATAACACAAAGAATAGCAGAAACAAACAAAATAATAAAAGATTTACACAAATTATACAATATGTTACATAGTTTTAAAAGTTGAAAATACAATGTAAACCATATTATTTAATAACTTAATTTCCACTTGTTTTCAAAAACTATCTCAATACAATTAAAATCCAGATAAATAATAGGGATTTACTAACAACGGTAAGGGCCCAAGACAAATCTGAAGCAACAGTCATTTTGTGAAAACTCATTCACAGTCCAAACCAGCAGAAAATGTGTTCTCCGTTTTCAGGTTGTCTATATGCTATCATTGATAAATTATTCTGAAATAATGGAAATTTCTAATAAATAAATAAAAAATTTAAGTCACTGGAACTACCCACATACTCTGAAAGGAATGGAAAAAGTGCAGAGTTCAATAAATCAAGGTCAAAGTTCAACTTGATTATACTTAACAATTGCAGTAAATTTTCTTTTGGTGGTGCCGGGGACTGAACCCAGGGCTAACATCTGTAGGAAGAAGATGCATTTTTATCTGTTTGATGTTCAAGCACTCAGTTTAAGAAAAAAAATTCAGTGTTTCACCGATTTCTTTATTTTCCGCATGTTCGGATCTCAGACGTGCATCCTCTCTCAGAAATTTTGCTTCTTGCATTTGTCACATATATTATACTCCTCAATCTTCGTTTTTAGGAGTATCTATTTTTAAAAAATGCAAAAACATTTACTTAGGATATAATTCAAGGTGGTGACATTAATCAAAATTCTTATAATTATATGAAAACAAATATCCAATTAAAAATAGTCCACATAAAGTATAAGAACCAAATATTTAACAAAAACTTCAGTTTAAAAGCCCTTGACTTTTAAAAATTACATTTATTTATTTATTATTTATGTGTGTCTGTGAACACACTTGCATGCACAGTGTTCCATGGCATGCATGAAGGAGTAAGTTCTCTACTTGCACCATGTGGATTCTGGGGAATGACTAATACTCAGCCCATCATGGTTGCCTTTACCCACTGAGCCATCTCACTGGACCAAGTTAGCCTCTGAAGTGCTGGGACTGACCACGGCCGGCCTCCAAGTCTGTGTTGTTTTATAAACTTTTCTAACACTCAGTTTTAGAAAGATATAGAAACTGGTGATGATTTTGAGCTATGGTTCTATGTACTATTATGTAGTGTCAATGTGATGTTAATACAAGTAGGTTGGCGATACTACATACAAGATGAATAAATGGGATGGCACAACTTTTCAGTGCATTGTTTAAGGTTCATACGGCAGTATACAGTTCTTAGAAACAGAAGCAAGGAAGACCCCACTTCTTTTGTTAGTTCAATTGTAATGGTTACCTTAGATGAATAAAGAAGCCTGCTTGTCTCTAAACATTTTAGATTACTACTTCCAAAAGTGGATTCCATAAAACACTAGCTCTCAAAGCTACTATGCAAAATACTGATTATTGGCAGTTTCTCCTTAAAAAGATGAAATACAGCATATTGAGATTTGATCAATTCTATGGAGAAAGTATCTATTTAACTTTTTATTACATGTCTCAAGCTTGACAAAGTGTGATGGCTACTGTTGTCCACTTGACAAAATTCAGAATCACCCAGGAGACAGCCCTCTGGGCATGCCTTGGGGGGACTTCCTAAGTGGTGTATTTGAGTTGGGAAGACTTGACATTCTCTGATTGGGATCCTGGGCTGTACAAATGGGGAAAGGGAACTGAGCAACAGTATTATTCATTGCTCTTTACATCCTGACTGTGGAGGCAGTGTGACAGCAGTTTCAAGTTCCTACTGCCTTCCTGCCAGGTTGGACTGTCCCCTTCAACTCTGAGTCTGAATAAACCCCTTCTCCCCTAACTTGCTTTTGTCAGAGCATTTTATCACAACAGGAAAAGAAATAAGACACAAAGCAACTCTTATCTTCTTTTAGAAAAATATGTACCGTATCCTGAGGAATCACTTTGGGAAATAAAATTTTTCACTCAAACTTGATGAAAATAGCAAGACATATATATGAGACTATACTTACACTCATTTCTAAATAAACAACAAAGCCTCCATTATGGAAACCTAACTAGTAAGAATGCACAACTGACCAAAATTACACAGTTATAACTGACTTTTCAAAGGAAAACCAAACTTCATGGTAGAGATTAACAAATTTGAGATATTTCTTTGAGTCAAATGAAAACAGGAAAGATTGCCTGACTCTTCCTCAATTGTTACAATGTAGAGTAATATAATAATAAAAAAGATGCTTTTACCATAAAAAAGAATGAAGTTCAAATCCTGGTTTATCATTCAATAGCAAGTTATCTTGGGAAATCACTTGCTAATTATTTATTTTTTTTCCTGTTTTAAATGAGTTATCTAATCCCAGTACCACCGGTTGCAAAATCCTATAATCCCATACTCTGAAGGCAGAGGCAGGAGGACCCTGGGTTCAAAGCTAGCTGAGTTATATCGTAAGGCTCCTGTCTCTTAAAAATCAGGAGCTGGAGATATAGGTCAGTGGTAGAACATCTGCTTAGCATGCCCAAGGACCTAGGCTTAATCCCTAGCACTGCAAAGAAAGGTGAGAAGCATATCTACCTGTGAGAATTAAAGCTCTTATAAAGTATAAGAATGCAGGCACCTAAAGTAAAGAAAATAGCTGCCATTCTTGTAGCAGAAATTTAGAATCACGATTCCCCCAAAGGAATGGAAATCTTCCTTAGGTGCTGATGAGCCTATATTATAAAAGTACAACCTGGGTTTATTATATTGTAGCTGTACATGTACAGAACTCAAGTTTAACATAAAGCTTAAAATTTTTTCTCCCTCCCTCTTTCTTTCTCTACTCTTTCCTTTCCTCCTTCTCTGTCTCTGTCTCTCTTTCTCTTTCTTGAGACAGAGTCTCATGTAATCTGCTCTGGCCCAGAACTTGCTTTGTAGCTGGGGATGATGCTGAACTTCTGATTTTCCTTCTTCAGCTTCCCTGATGTTGAGGTTACAGGCATGCACCATTCTACCTGGTTTATGTAGTTCTGGAGATCGAACCTCATGCAGTGCATGCTAGGCAAGCACTCTACCAACTGAGCTATGCCCTCAGCTCTTTGGCAGACAATTTTTAAATCAAGACATGGTAACTGCCTACAAACAGATTATAGGTAATAATTACATTTCTTTCAGCTCCTTTCTTCTCTTGTGTTGCTTGGGACTGAATCAGGGCCTCTCATGTGCTATGCATGACCTCTACCACTAAGCTCTAACTTTAATCCCTTTGCAGCTATTGTTTAAATGTTATAAAAATAAGGTATGACTTATTCTTGATTATTATTAGGCAAATTAAGACAAGGATAAGTTGACATACTTATCTGCTATGAAGTTCTTTTTTTAGGCACGATTTGAATGTTGGATACTTCTGGACTGTTTTATAACCCTGTGGAATAGAGGATAAAAAGTGTCCAAATGTATGAAAGGGAAAATATAGCATAATTTCACTTACATATTGACTCTCTAAGCTGAACTTATAGAAGTGGAGCAGACTGCTGGTTACTAGTGGCTGGGAGTGTTGGTTGGGGCAGGAAGTTAACCAGTGGGTATAGAGTTCCAGTTAGACAGGAGAATGAGTTTTCAAGATCAACTGCACAGAATGGTGATCATAGTTAATAATCATGAGTATTTCAAAAATGCTTAAACAATACTTATGTAGAGTTCCATTTTGTTATCTGCAGTATATTTTCAAATAATATATGGTTTATGTTCTTTAATGTTTCCTTCCACATTATATATTATCTATTTATAAAATTATAAATAAGAAATCACCAATATTGATTACCTATTTTTAAAAAATAAAGTCTCTTTTATTTAAAAAAAGACTTAAATGGCTCCCACTACAAACAAGTATGAGAGTATAACAATTAGATTGATATAATTATTCTACAAATGTATTCATAAACAAGATACTGCATTTTACCCCATAAAAGTATGCAATTAATATTCATGAGTTACAAATGAAGAAAAGCAAACTGTACAAATACAGACAAGATGGTATGGGGCCAAAGATACACACTATCTAAGGAGAAATAATCATAACACATGAGAGAGAAATCAGTGTCAACAGTTCAGAGCTAGTTTACACTGAATTTAATCTTGTTACTCTAGCATTTCCGAGGAAAAATCACCAGCTTTCATTGTACATCCTTCCGGGTGTTTGCAGAATCAACTGAAATGCCACCTAGGGAACCACTAGGTGGCAGTGAAGTACAACAGCATCTTTTCTAAGTGCTTGGCTTGAAAGTCATGAATACACTAAAATGAATCTGGATTTTTTTTCTATAAATGGATTTTTTTCTGCTTAAAAAGTGCATGATACTTAAGAATATCCATGTCAAAGAAAAAATACTGACTGAACCGTTATTAGTTTTTTAACAGGAGTTTCTCCTTTGCCATTTCTGAACCATCTATAAATATTTTACACACAAACATTTACTGCGCCACATTGTAGTTCACATTTTAAAGGATGACTTTTAGAAAAGACAGATGGATTCCTACTGATTAATTTTTAGTAGGTCAACAGGAAAAAATAATTCAGCAGACAAAAAATATTTTCAGTTTATTTTCCACAATGAATATGCACTGACTTAAGAGCCTCAAGTTCCCTAAAGGAAATGTGTCTCATAGGAAATGAGAAATGGGGATGTTTCCCTATTTACTAGTAAGTCTAAAAAGCCAATGTGAAGACTACATTAAAAAGGTAATACCAAAAAAAAAAAGCAATACCTTCCCCCCAAAACTGCAAAAAAGACGTTTGCCTAAATGAATATGAAACTGAATTTAAAATCAAATTGATTTTATATATTTTTAAAAGAATAATCTTTCATCACTTTAAACTGTTTTGGACTATAGGTAGGGTCGATAATCTTAATTTCCAAATAAACCATTTCATAACTTTAAAGTTCATGTAAATTTTTTCTGAACTTAGATTTTTCTTTTCCTTCTGATTTAAAATATTATCAATAGTCTTATAGGCTTGATCTGCAAATTTACCCGGAATCCTCTATGGAGTCTGTCTTTCATAATTCCAATAAATTCTTTATAACTTAATTGATCATCTTTGTCGACATCAAAAATCTTGAAGACAGTGTTCACTAAATGTGGTGAAAGTTTCAGTCCAGTAGCTACGTAGACAGCACGTTTAAATTCATCTAGATCAATGTTACATAAAAAGAAAAAAGTAATTTTTAGTATATGAAGTTAATTACTGAAAAAGTTGTAAAAAGTTCTAAACATGAGTCATGATGATATGATACACAGTATGTGAATTTTCATTTATCATGCTCTCTTCATTAGGGAGTAAGACATTTTATGGTTTTAATATAAAGAGCAAGAAGGTATATTTTATGTTAAAAATACATTCACAACCAATGAATTCTTAATGAGTACCTACTACCAGTACTTGATACTTTAGAAGTTATTAAGGTAAGTTCTCAAGAAATAGTTCAGATGAGAGATGAGACACTTGAAGAGATAACCATTACACTTTGTGCACATGCCAAAAATGTGCTCTGAGAATTTACAGGCAAGTGACTGCTTCTGAAGTGTGGAGTAGGGAAAGGGAAAAGGGCTATGTTTTGAAAGGCTCTGATTTTATATTTGAGCTAAGTCCTGAAGATGGATGGTTCCAGCAGTGGAGAAGAGAAACGGCAGATGAGGTGACATGAATGGACATGTGTCTTGGAGATGAGATGAGATCATAGAGTATGTCTACAGAATAATGAACAGTGTGGGTTAAACAGAACACAGGGACATAGGATCTGGGGAAGCCTGGAACAGATGGTGAGGTAAGGAACTATAGGCTCTTCAATGGGCAACTGGGAAACTTTAGAGTTTTCTATAACAGCCATGCCAAAGAAAGGTTAATTTTTGTTTTAGGAGATTCTCCGAGTTTCAGCAAAGCTGGTGGAAGGAATGCCACATAGGTGTCCACTACAATAAAATCCCTTAGTGAAGTGCTCAGTGGTGCTAGTAGCGGCAAAAGTAAAGGAACACATGCATAGTATTCCCAGAACCTGAAAAGTAATACAATCAATTTCCCCCTCATTTTCTAGTTCCACAAAACAAAAAAAGCAAATTTCTGCTCTGAACCAAATAAACTGATAACCGTTTTTTTAAAAAAAGGTTTATTATTCCAGTAAAGGTTTGTATGTGGAGACATGCCTTCCAAAGTTCAAACATGGAGTTTAGAAAAAGGACAAAATATGAAAAATCAGGTTTCTCTTACTCAGCGAATAAAATGGGCACTGCATATGTCTTTTAAAGCTGGTAGATTTAACCCAAGCACTTACTGGTCAGTACTTCACTGTTTTTGAGAGAAGTAATTATCAACATTTAGGGATTGTAGTTTGGCTATTCCCTAGAATTTGTTTTTTTAAAAAAAACCTTCAAGATTATAATTTGAGATCTAACATACTAGATTTTGGCAGAGGCAAGTAAAATAGCCGTACAGGCACAAAGTCAAAGACGCTATTAGGTAAAATCTTAAAAAAGGACATGGCTATTGAGGGAAGAGAATCCTAGGAAAGGATTTGTCTTGTTAACCAGCCCACAGGGAAGGAATGAGCTGGTTTTGAGGACAGCTGTATTTCAAGTTATATGACAGCTGCATTTCTTTGTAAATTAAAAAAAGATAATCAACTGCTTACACCATCCTCAAAAAAGGCTAAGGTAAGTCAGTGGCTAAGTGGCTCTGCTCATAGAGTTCTGGTTTCAGAGCAGGGATATTAAATACTATGAGAATCTACGGAGCTGGCAATGGCTAGTGCTATCTTCACAGGTAGACATGTGTCCCTTGGTATTGCCAAGTGGGTCATGAGGCTTCTTCTCCTATACCTTTTAAGTAAACATCATTACTTTGTCCTCATAATATGAAATTAAGGATAAAAAATAAATTCAATAAAATGCCAGGACATTTACCTAACCTTTTTTTCCTTTCAAGTTTCAGAACTGATTTCTTAGAGAATGTATAAAGCCAGACTTTCAGGTAAGCTGATGCATGATAAAGCATATCTAATTAACCTGTTTCTAAAATCTCTAGAAAAAATGCAGAATCTTTAATTTTTGAAGAGTGATTACTTACCTTGTCCTATTGAGCGGCTTGCAAAGTTATACATATTGAGGGCTATTGCAAAGTCTTCTAAGTTGTTCAGAAACTGGAAAAATGACCTGAACTCATCAAATGTGATGCCCTATTTCAGGAATATAAATGTGAAAAATTAATATTGACAAATTTACTAAAATAAGTGCAATGTGCTTATCAGAAGAGAACAGACCAGGCATCTGCAATATGTTTCATAAGTAAATACTTCCAAGGCATATTTGGAAGTTTTCTTCAAATAGAATGTCAGATTCTCTCAAGACTTACTACTACTGGGTGCCACCACAATAAGAGGTGAAATATTTTTAAATACTATGTCAACATCAAGTTCCAAAAAATGTGATAAAAATGCCTGAATGTTTCCATTGAGCAAATCATCTAAATACAACTTTTAAAACCTGAAAGTATGGTAGTTAAGGAAAAAATACAGAAATGTTTGCTTTGCATATGTATTCTGACACGATTCAGCATCATGTTATCAATGCAATTATAATGACAATGCAAAATCAAAATGCTGAGGGTTGTCAACTGTTGTCTTAACTGGATTATTTCAAGTCATGATGCTGCTTCAAGATGTCAGTGACTGCAGAGAACGGCACCCAGAGGACAGCAGGAGACAGGGTCAAGGACTTCACTCGGAATGGCCTGTTCTGGGATGTCATACTCACAGGCTGAAATTCTATCACTGCTATATATACTTCAAACAGGAAAGTTATTTGAAATAAAAATAATGTATCTTACAGAATACATGTTCAGAGAAGATTAATACAATTAAAATAATTGGGAAAATATACAGAAAAGAGGAGCAAAGGGCCAACAGCTTACTTAGACTTAACCAGTCTTGACTTATTTTTTTTGTATTTCATACAGAACATCCCAAACAATCTTACTCATCTTTATACCCTTATCGCAAATAGCACCCTCCCATAGCTTCCTCCCCCCACTGGAGCTCATACACTCTATCATCCCTGTTACTGTCCACAGTGTTGTCAGTGCCCCCAGTCGTTCACCAGTGCAAGTCCATCCAGAGTCTAGTCAGCCTATCTGGAGTTCCTTGTTTTAGGAAGATCAGCTCTTCCTCATCTAGCAGCAATCAGTTGCCAACATTCCTTTAGATAAGTCTGCTGTTCATTTTCCCAGTTCTATGCTGGATTACTGTCTGGGAGTCTCTTGGGCCACCCTGGCCAACAACTCAAAGGAAGGTATCTCCTGTCTGGCATTGTTTCTTGTTATGTAGTCTTTAGCTATACACATGGACTCTTAAAGAAATATACTGCTCACTTTAATCTTTGGTTATACTTCCCTTTTGGGTGTTTAAGACCATACAGTTGGCTCAAATAAACCGATTTACTTTTACTCTTAAGGTCGTTTGGAGACCTGTTCCTCAGGGGTCACATGGGCTTGGGAGGAGCCTCTGACTCCTTTATTTACCAGTTCTATCTATGTGAAGATAAGTCAGAGATCCTGTTCTACCGTGGCTGGCTTCACTTGGAAGCATGGAGGAAATGTTTCCTGTGTTGACCTTCCTCTTTGTAGACTGGAAAAGGACAATACAACACAACAAAACCAGTCTTGACTTAAACTACAGGGGTAAGTAAAAGCAGAGCACTGACAAGGAAGTGCTGGAAAGCCAGGGAGCTACCGAGGCAGTGAGTTACCAGAACCAAGTTTAAATGTAAAGAAGACAACAGCTTCCTATCACTCTGTGCCACTCTTAGACTTCAGTCTAAGAACTCTTCAAGAACTCTTGTTCTTGGTCTCAGGTCTGACCTGCACCCAACTCTCCCTCTCATCACCTACTACTTTCCTAGTTATTTATGAAATGTCCCTCAGCACTTTCTCAAGTACACCAGGCTTGTTTCCACCCCAGGTCTTTGCTCTTTGCTGCTCTCCTGCCTGACACTTTTCAACCAGATTTCTACACAGCTCATTCCACACAGGCCCTCCAAAAAGCCATCTTTTCTGATGAGCTCTCCCTAACAGTCTACCTTTTTTTCTCCAGTCTTTCTCATACCATTTATAATGATCTGGAAGTATACTATTTTTTTGTTTACTTACTTTGTCTTTCTAGTAAGATGTCTCTAATAGAGAAGGATTTTGCTTATCTTTGTATTTTTTCATTTACATCTAGAATAGGGCATTACAGATGTTTACTGTCTGCTAGATAAGTGGATGGAAATGAAAGCATTTTATAAATGTAAAATGCCATCCAAATTTTAGCTTTCTCTCTTGTTTCCTTTACTGGGGAGAAAAGGCTGAGGTGTGGAAGGAAGTGAAAGACCAGTCCAGTGTAGCGGACATGGAGGACTGATTTAGAAAGCCCTGCCTGGTTTGAATCTGTACACAGGGTAAAGGTACCAGAAAAAGCCTTAGATTCCCATTTTCTAAAAGAAATATGTGAATACCTACAAGGTTGTCCTAAGAACTGACATGGCAATCCAGAAAAAAACCTCAACAGGCTCCGTCCTTATTGGTCCTAAAAACTTCCTGTTTCTATCGCAATGACTGTCATGCTTAAGATTCTGCTACCAATGAACAGCTGGCAGAAGCGGAATTTAGCTTAAGGGTTCTTAGTTTGAAATAACTTTAGATATAAACATTAGTTGTAAAAACAGTGTAATAGTTTCTATAAACTCATCATTCTTGCAATTTGACCATCTGAGTTACAGATTTTCATGTTTCCATTTAACAAAAGAAAAAGAAAGATAAAGTTCCTATATAATGCTATAGTAGCCTGAGTGGTATAATTTCCCATTTTTATTTCTAGGGATTTATCTACTGGTTAGGAAAATGCAGCTTAACAGGTAAAACAGATAAAGGTCTCCTGATTAAAAGACAATGTAAGCTAACAGCCAAATGCATCAAGACCCTTTTTCAATTTTCTTTAGTGGACTAAGTGTATCCATTCTAAACAAAGTCAAACTATTTGCAAGTTTTTCTTGGACAGATTAACCTGATCCTTCAATAAACACAAATAGAAGGCAATATATCCCAAACATCCCAGGCTTAAGGGGATACTTGTGACACCAGTTTCTATTTGGTTGCAATGAAGCATTCAAATACCACTAGATAATGCAACTGCTCAGAAGGGCTGACACCACATTTGCTACCAAGCAAATAGACAACCAGTTGCCCCAGGTTCTTAACCATTCATGCCATCCAAACTCTTTGAAAAGCCTCACTTTAGCTGCTGATAAGATCACTCACTCATCAACGACACTCTTCAAATGACCTTTTATGAGAAGTGGCATAGAAAGGAACAAAGTGTGACAGAAATAATGTCAATACAAACTTTTTATATGAAGTGATGTTTTTGTACTAGTCAAAACATGTAACTCACCAGAATTCTCTTGGAAAATATTAATAGCCTTAATTTGAATAAAACCACTAATAGCCTTAAAGAGTTCCAGTATTACTAAGAAATATGTGGCTATTTGGGATACGGAGGAAAAAGAATGAAAGAGGTATTCAAAGTATTTTTTTTTAATTTGCAGAGTAGCTAGGGAGCTAATAAAATGGAAAGGTATTTAATAAACCTACATAAATAGCATTTACAAGATATTTCAAGATAATGGATGTAACAAAACAAACACATGGGATTAGACACCTTTTCTTCAGGTATACTGTAGCGCACATTTTCCAAAAATACTGATGTATTTTCCACATTTGTATATCGTAGAAGAATGTGGGCAAAATCTTCTTCACTGATAGTATTCATTCCATTGGAGTAGGAAAGGAATTCTATTTCCAGAACTTCTGTCTGTAGGTTATCCATAAATCTGTGATAAAGGTATAATGAAGAAAGAATAAGATAAATATCTCGTCTTTACTACTCTACAAAAGGTTATATGGAAATGATTAATTGTATACTTAAGTCACTGTGGCATATTGAGACTAAAAGATTGCCAACAAATTTTCTTCTAAATACACAAGAGATAGCAATCCACAGATGATTTTCAAATAATCATTTGGTGACTTCCTATCAGGAGCATACCAGTTCTGGATGTACTGGAAACGGGCATTACACGGGATTTTCAGGTAAGATCAAAGGAGAAAAGCAGTATCCACGGCACTTGATTTCTCAACACCATTCTGATTTTAGCATTCTTTTTTAAATATATATTTTATTTATTTTATTTAATGTGTACGAGTGTACTGCCTGCATATACGTGAGTACACCTGTGCCATGCATTGCTGCGGAGGTCAGAAGAAGGCATCAGATTCCCCTGGAACTGGAATTAAGGACAGTTCGTAGCCTTCATGTGGGTTCTGGGAATCAAACCCAGGCCCTCTGCAAGAGCACTCAGTGCTCTTAACTGCTGAGCCATCTCTCCAGCCCCAATTTTACCATTCTAATAAGTAATTTTCAGAAATTAAACTTACCTATAAAAATCCTCAAAGTTAAGCTCAGCTTTTCCTTTCTTTCCAAAAAAGTGTACCAGAAGTGTAGTATCGGTTACTAAGCTTGTTATGTCATCAGCACGCTTAAAAACAAACCATTAATTTAACATTAGCAGCAATAAAAACCCAAAACAGAATAAAGCTACTCAACATTCCTCAAAGAATTTTATCAAAATATAAGTCACTTTGTCATTGTCATTAATTCATACCAACTTTATAAACTCAGGTATACAATTCATGAAATTCAAATATTGTAACTCATATATATATAGCACCCTAGGAAATATAAGAAAAGTTAAACAGTATCATCATTTTCTGTATTATTAAAAACAGCTGTTCATGCCCACTCAAGGTAAATGGTTGAAATAGTACTTAATAGAAGAAATAAAGCAGAAGAAATATTGCTCTAAAAAGATAGGTCTTCTGTCATCTCTGACAAGCAGTTTCATGCCACCCATCTTCCACACAATAATCTTTGATCTTACTTTTCCCTGTCTTTGACAAAGGTAGTGGTTTTATCCTGCACTGGTTGGATCTTTCTTTTCTCCTAAATATTTTCTTGTAATGATCAGTATACAATAGAGTAGGTTGTCTGATTTCTCTTCTAAAATGCCGTACTTTTAGTGCCTACTAAACTTTTTCTAAGGTGATCTTCTGCTACTTGGACTAATTCATGTCTCTTAAAAACTCTATAGCTCCAGCTGGCCTGGAACTCACTATGTAGACCAGGCTGGCCTTGAGCCCACAAAGATCCACCTGCCTCTGCCTCCCAAGCACTGGGATTAAAGGCCTGAGCCACCACGCCCAGCAAAAAAATTCTAGCTTTTGAGCCATTTGTAACAGCACTTGGGAGGTTGAGACAGGAGGATCAGGAACTCAAGGCTAGCTTCAGGTACATGATGAGTTCAGGCCAGCCAGGGCGATATTAAACCCTATCTCAAAAAACCAAATGCAAACTCAAACCAAACCAAACCGAAAAGCCAAAACCTTCTACCTTATAGAGAATCCATACAGAAATTATGTAAAATTATGTAAATTCTTTAGTAGTCACCTGAATGTTCTGTTTATATTGAAATAATTTATTAATTTAGCATGGATTTTTCTAGCTGTTCTCTAGTATACATGATGTCCTTACACCTGGCTGGAAGATCCCTGATCCCTACTACTTATTCTCACTTAGTTTGCTGACAAGTCCCAAGCATTCTTGGTGTTTGGGATACTGAGGAAATTCCAGCAGGACAAGTTCTTTGAAGACCTGAGAGCAGTTTGATCTGATTGCTAGAGGAAAAAAACAACAGTTAGGTAGCCAAGTGACCACACTATCTTTTAACTGTATCTGCTCAGAAAAGCTTACAGTGTTTAAGAATAAAAATGGTACCAGTTCCTTCTTTCATTGCTCCATGTGTGAGAGGAGACTGTATAGTCTAAGGAACCCTGGAAAGACACTAATTTACTAGGAACTTTAGAGGAGCTAGACTATAGATATCATGGGGGGGGGAGAAACCAGATATTAATCACATATACTTTCATGACTTAGGATAGCCTCATTTAATAAGTTTATTTTGCTTTGAAGAGCTTAAATTTTGATTTTTTTATTTTTTGAGAATTTCGTAAGTATTATATCATTTCTATCCTTCCCAGGTGCCCTTCCAACTCCTCCCATGAACCCCCACTTCCTCTCAATTTCTTGTCTTCTTTATTATTACATATACATGTATTTATAAATATACAAACACATATATGTACTATGCACTGAGTCCATTTAGTGGTGTTCATGTGTACATGTGTTTATTCACTTGGCATTGGAAAACCTATCAGGGAGCTAGTCCCTGGAGAAAACTAATTCTCCCTTCCTCAGGATCTACTGATTGTCTGTAGTTGAAGAACTTATATTTAAAGGACAGAAATCCCAGAAGCATGCTCAAGTTGAACCTAAGAGCAGGTTCAACTTGGAAAAACCAGCACACCTGCCTGGAAGTTAGAGGAACGAAGTGAAAGGGGCCAAAGTGACAGAGTAGGTAAAGCAGGAGTGGGTGTTCTGGAAAAACTGCATACTTCACAAAATAAAAAATGGGGTGATGAAAAGATGAGAGGATGAGTTCAGGAATCAGGCTGTGGCACGGAAGACTAACACATCTCATCATTTAGTGGCCTTGAGAAGCTCAGTCTCTCTGAGCACATTATTATCTTGAGAAGTAAGAGCAAGTACCTAAAAGGCTATAAAAATTAGATATTCACATAGTTTTTAGCACTTGGATTACTGTAAATATTTAATACTTATGATTTATTATTGCCAAGTTTAAGAAGTTAAACACAACTTAGATATGACAAAAAGATAATAGTGTTGAAAGATAACAGGAGTTTTACAGGATACATCCTTTGTTTTGAAAATAAATGTTACATAAATTTGAAGACAAAAAAAAAAAAAGCTTTAAAACAAGAGGTTTCAGAAGCACTGCATCATAGTGAACTCAGATAAAATAATTAAGGACTATTTTCCTTCCGGGCTGTGATGTCAGCGTGTCTCAACGAGCACTAGAATGAGATGATTTTCCATGCAGTCTGTCACAGCCTCTCTTAGCTGGTTCTCATGCTCACTGAGCAGAGTTCACTTAGTCTCAGCGTTCAAATCTTATTAGATTCAGGTTGCGCTTATTCAGATAATCCAGATTCATAGAAGCAGAAGTATCAGTCTGACATTAGAGAAAAAAATCAGAGGATGGAAGTGGGGACCCCAACCCCCATTTATGAAACTGGGTACTGCATGAAGTCATGGAACACTGGGCCAGTGTCCTTGGTATCCTACCACTGGTATACAGCTTGAATTACAAGAAGGTTGAGACAAAAATAAGAGAGTTTATCCCTCTGATTCTCGTATTTATTGTTAAAATAAAATGAATTCAGGTGTTTTCACAACAAAGCAAAAAGCAAAAAAAAAAAAAAAAAAAGCCACAAAGAGCTTCATGGGCCATTTACACAAAAGTCCATTATTTATTTTGTTTTGATTAAAAATTCTGTCAGGCTGGGAGCAGCTCAGGGGTACTGGGTATAACTCAGTGGTAGACAGTGTGTTAGCACAAGTGAGATCCTGGTTCACACCAGACCCAGCACCAAAAATAAAGCACACAAAAATTCATCAAACTATTAAAATATAGAGTTTGAAGATAGCCTTCTAACACATTGTTACTGATTACAATGTGGAAACGATCTTAATCTCCACCAAAGGAATAGAGCAAGTCTTCAAATTTAACGAAGTTTTTGAATAATCCATTGGATAAGTAGGATTTAAAACAAACAAAAAAATTAAATTTCATTTGTAAATATCAAAACAATGTTTTTAATTCTGGTACTGACAAGCTGTTTCAACAGTTGTATGATACACTTATCATATTACGTTTATTATAATATGATTTTGGTCAGAAAGTGGTGTGAGCTGCGACATATACAAATTTTTATCATATAATTTTACAGTATTGCAAAAACATGGCTTTTCTATAACTGAAAAAAATCTATAGGCATAAACTTCTCTGGAATGAGAAAATGAGAGGCTAATATCTAGTTTGCCTATGATATTTTAAAAGTTAAATATTTATATGCGGTGAAAAAATTTATGGGTAAATATCCAAGCTTTCTTCTGAGCCAATTTGAATCCTGAAGCACTAATATTATTATAAATAATACTGATATAACAGTATCCATAGTCCATAATAACATAGGAATTATAATTAGTTGGAATTTGTAGTTAAATTATGTTTATTAATTTCTATAATGCAGGAAGGTGGTAATAAAGATAATTACCAAATAATTATTGTACATTGGAACACACTGTAAATTTTGTTTTCCTCTTTTTTTGATGTTTCTCCTCATTCAATTTACTTTATGAACAATGAATCAACTCACTAATTCAGCAGGTTAAGATCATAGTGTGGCCTGCTTATAGCTGATGTGACAATAAACTGGTTCTTTTTTAAAAAGGCTGAGTCATAGAGTTGGTCAGTTTCCATGGCATCAATACTCCCCTCATGGCCAGTTTCAAGAAGATGTCACACAGTATGAGCTGGGAGGAATTACACAAAATTGACTTTGGGAACCTGTAGAAAGCCAGGTCCAACACGCCCTTCATAGAATGATGATCAGTTTCAAAGATCTTACATAAATCATATAATCTTTTGAATATATAAGACCTGGCTAGTTTTCTGGTATTATGCCTCTCAAGATTTAAATTAACCTGAAAAATCTAATAGCAGATTTTGTTTATAAGAATTTGTAGCAGAGTTAGATGGGATTGAAGAAAGGCTGATGGTTAAGAGGTGGGCACTCTGGCCTGGTGAGCGAGAACAGTCACATGACTATTTACGTGAAGCCCACTGGCACTACTGCTAGCTGGCTTGCAGGGACACACACGGACAGTGCTGCCAGACTACTGTGACTTACAAAAATGATTATAAAATAAAGTGGTTCTAAGGCTTCTGTAAATGGTACACCTGTTACTTCATTCTTAAACACAGCTCAAATTGTTTTCTCCAGACACTAGCTCCCTGAGAGGTTATCTAATTCCAAGTAGGCAGCCATAACACAGATACATATGAGCACCAATAAACAGACTGTGGCATTACAATAATATGTATATTTATAAACATATGTATGTATACTTAACAATGATAATCAAAGACAAAACACTGAGCAGCGGGGTTGGTAGGAGGAGGAGGAGGACTGGGAGGGATGGATGCAATATAAAAATAACATTCATTTTAAAAAGGGTCATTTCAAAAGGTAATTGCTGGTCATAATTATATCACATTTATTTATTACAGACAGATTAATCATAGGGAAAATGTATTATGCATGTTTTGGAAGACTTTAAAACACAGCACAAATGATGAAATTAACATTTCCAACTGCTGCCCTAGTCATCCCTAGGATGACAATGGAGCAGAACTGTATACATTGATAACAGAAAAGACAGTTAAGCCAGGCACAGTGGTACCTGCCCATAGGTCCAGCTACATGGTAGGCTAAGGTGTGAAGATTCCTTGAACCTTGGGAAACACAGCAAAACTCACCTCAAATTAACTTTAGCTGTTTGTGTTTGTGTGCATAGGGAGGCAGAGACGAATGCTGGGTGTCTTTTTCAAGCACTGTCTACCTTACTATTTTTAAAAATTTGTTTTTATTGAATTTTTGTGTATTTCATGCAGAATGTCTCAATCAATCTTAATCATCTTTATACCCGTCCCCACCAGCACCCTCTCATAGACTCCTCCACTCCCCCAAAGCCCATATACTCTGCCATCCCTCTAAGGCCCACAGTGTCAAGTCAGTGTCCCCGGATGTTCCCCAGTGCAAGTTCATCCACTGAGGTCTAGTCAGCCTATCTAGAGTCCCTTGTCTTAGGAAGACCAGCTCTTCCTCACCTAGTAGCAAACAGTTGCAAATATTTCTTCAGATAAAATTGGGGTCTGCTGTTCATTTTCCCAGTTCTATGCTGGGTTACTGTCTGCCTGAGTTTGCATGGGACTTGTGCATGCTGACAATCAGGGTCTCTCACTGAACTTGGAGCTTTCCAATTCACCTAGATTGGCTGGCCAGCAAGCACCAGGATCCTCCTGTCTCCTCCTCCATCCTGCTGAGGTTAAAGGTATGTGCCACTGTGCCAGCTTTTTACATCAGTACTGGAATCAAACTCAGATCCTCATGCATGCACAACAAGCACAGAACCATCTTCCCACTGCTTTACTTCAGAAAAATTTAAAGTATAACTTTTTGAAGTTAAAGTTTAGAAAGAAAATCGAATAAAGTTTAATATTAAAGTTTTGAATGTCTATTGATGGTGGTATTTATTATATGAATATGGGGACAGAAGTGGTCCATTGTGAATCTAACAATAATAAAAATGAAAGAGAGATGGCATGATTTTTATTTATATATGTACTGGTCATCTTAAATAATATAAAGGAAAATAGTTCCCAGTTCCTTGACTGCATGCTCCTATCACACCATCCCCATACCTCTTTATATCCCTGCCCTTGGTAAGCTATTCATTATTATCTAGGTAAATTTAACTGTTCAAATCTAACATAAGAGTCAGTCACCTTTCAGTAAGTAAAACATTCTAATGTTTCATGTAACACTGTTGTAGGGTAAATAGATTTAGTGAATTTATAAATCTGTCAGCATTTTCAAATTTCTAGGAAGTGATCCTTAACAAAAGTTCCACAGATTATTACAGGTGCTTTTTCATCCCATCAGTACAGTCAATATGGTAAAACATACATTGTATACAGTAATTATATATATATATATATTACTTATTTTACTGAAGAAAAAAATATAGTACATTTTTGGCTTCATCTCGTGACTCTAAAACAGTGAAGATTATATTAACAAAATGGCAAATAATACAAAGACCACGTGGAGGTTTAAGTATACCTCTGCAAGGTCGGAAAAGAGTGCTTGGCTTGTGTTACGTCTCAGTGTATCCCAAAAGCTTCTGGAGACAAGTTCCTCAGCATCTGCTTTAAGTACCTGTAGAAGTTTCAGAACAACTGAAATTTAAAGAAGAGTCACAGAGAATGACAACTTACATACTTTAAGTCTCTTCTAACCAACTTTAAAAGAGGAAGCGTATTAGCTTACCTTTGTTTTTCTGCTGCACACAACAGTATTATATTTCACTGCTAGCAGACCCATGGTGCTTTCACAGGTGAAATGGCATATAACCTCTATTTCTAAGTACAATATGGCTATGTCAAAATGCATCAAATTCTCCAATCCCTCCTTCTGCCTTTTTGCTGAGACACACATAATATCTATGAAAGTGTGATATAAAGATTTTATTTATAGTGTGCGTTTTTACATATGGAGAAAATTTTTGTAAATTTGTGGTAAACTTGATGAACTCAGATGTATACAAAAGAAGCAAATATGTGGAAATAGACTACCTCTCCATGACAGGATATCACATTTTTTCCTCTTTTTGCTTTCCTATACTTTAATATACAACTTTTAAAACTGAGATGTTTAGAACACTGCAGCTTAGTAAGTCCCTTCCTGCCAAAAGCTTCCTTACTCATTCCTCACTAAGCTCCACTCTAAATCTGCTGTTCCATGAGGGAAGTGCTATAAGTAGATACATTTGTCTCTGTTTTATCTTATCATATAAATTGTAAAGCCTCTAAGGGCAGGAGCAATATTCTTATAGCAATTATTGTTGCAAGGAAAAGACAGCTACTAGATCAGTGACATACCTGGCACACTCACTGATCACGGATGTCTATGTATCTGTTCCGAAGCTAGTATTTAATTTTTAATCAGTAACTTTGATGATGAAATCGAGTGACTTTTCATAACATGCAAAATTAGCAGGAAGGTTTAATAACAGAAAAATATAAACAGGACATCTGAAATACAATTCAAGTAGATAAAGAAATTCAAACTAGAACTTAAAATACAGAGCAAATCTAAAACCACAACATATGCCTACAGATTAAAGACAGGGGAGAAACGTCCAGCTGTAACTGAGATGGGTTATGAAACTGACAGCTGTGAAGTTTAGGTATGTAAACTGAAGGCAAGGTCTGAAGACTTCTCAGTATGTGTACTAGCTTTCAGCCCCTTTACCATAGGGGCAGGTTAAATGCAGACTTTCATTAAAAGAGATCATATTTAAGTTCAAAAGAACTTAGAAAATGGATGGACATGGGCAAAATGATGTCTTCTACTCTCTAACTCTGATAAAATTTTTGTCTAACTTCAGAGACTTTTAGTGATTGAGTTCCTTAAACTTTGCAGTTTTGATCAAGAGTTGTTATGCCTTTTTGACCTTGTCAAAAGAGGGTCCTATTTGAGTCAGTCCCGAATAGCATATCCCCGATAGCCACTGCAGGAAGAAAGGAAGGCAATGAAGAAGGAAGGGAGTACAGATGTGGGGGAAGAAAGAAAGGAGGACAGGGAAAATTAGGGAGAAAGAAGACAGGCTTAGAAATGCTGCACCTCACTGTGCTAAGGTAGAATAATGGCTACCCAAAGTTGCCCATGTCCAGACAGGCAAAGACTTTCCATACAGTAAGTCTGAGAAAAATTACACTGAGATTAGGTCATTTAGGAGAAGAAATAAAATAGCTCACAGAAACAGGGTGTAAACATCCCTTGCTAACAGTGATATTTAACCACAAAAATAAAACATAATAAAACTATCTTTGTATTTTTTTGCTCCTATGGCAAAACAGCCTGAAAAACAGTAATCTTAGAATTGCAGTTTATAGTTGTGTGAGACAGGTAGCCCCCAGGTCTGTCAAACTCAGAAGCTGAGAGACGTATAATACAAAAGGAATGTCTTATGAAAAGCTCCAGAAAATAGGGATCAAGAAAGATGAGAAACACTATTTAGATAGAAAGTGATGGTGAATAAGCAAGAATCAACAGATGAAAACGGTCCTCATGTTTCAGAAGCCCAATAAATCTCACCATAGATAACAGCACAGCAGAGGTGCACTGTAGTAGGACTATAAATTAACAAAGGTGAAAGACTTAAAAGCTAGGGTGGAGGGGGAACCAGGTTATTTACAAAAGAAAAACAGATTCTGAGTTGATTTTTTAATTTCAATGACAGAAGCCAAAAGATAGTGAAAGAAATGATATAATTTGCTGAGAATGTTAACTTATAATAAAACATTTTTTAAAAGGTTTTGTTTTTTCTTTAATTTTTATTTATTTTTTTTATTTTATGCATAGGAGTGTTAACGCTTACATGTCTGTAAGTGCACCCACATTGTGTAGTGCCTGTGGAGGCTAGAAGAGTGCGCTGGATCCCCTGGAACTCGAGTTATGAATGGATGTTAGCCATCATGTGGGTGCTAGGATTTGAACCCAGGTCCTCTGAAGAGCAGTCAGTGCTCTTAACTGATGAGCCATCTCTCTAGTCCCTGCTTGCTCTTTTTGGTTGTGATAGGGACTGAGCTTTGGACCTCACACATGCTCCAGCATTTACTCTACCACTGAGCTGTATTTCTAACTGATGATTTTGTTTTTTAATTTACCAAGGGACCCACTCTCAAGGTAATATTTTGTAGGTATGAGAGTATGAGTTTAGGAAGGAATGAGATTAAAGAAGGAATTATGTGTGTACATGCACATGGTGTATGTATGTGTGTGGATGTGTGCTTATGGCTGCACCTATCCACATGTGTGTGCGCATGCTCCATGCACATGCACGTGGGTGAAAACCAAAAGTCATCATCACTTATTTTCCTGGTTTTCTCTCCACCTGTTTTCTGAGACCAAGTTCTGACTGTCCCTGGAGTTCATGATTTTACTAGACTGGCTGGCCCATGAGTTTCAGGGATCCATTCACCTGTCTCTGTGCTACTCCCTAAGTGGTGGGTTACAGATACCACCTACTTGGCTTTTATGTGTGTTTGGGAATCAGAACTCGGGTCCCCATGTTTGCACAGCAGGGACTTCACCAACTAAGCTACCTCCCTACCCCCCCACCCCCTGCAAAATGAAAAAAAGAATAGTAAATATGTACATACTTCTAAAAAAGACAATGATAGCCAAGAAGGATGGATCAAGGCTGTAATCATAGTACTTGGGAGGCTGAGGCAGGGTGATCAAAAGTTCAAGGCCAGCCCAGGCTGCACAGTGAAACTCTGTCATGAACAAAACTTGATGCATTTTAAAACTGCATTTGAAAATTTGGGGATATTAAAAAACAACAAGGCAGACACAACACAAGAATTACAGGTATACATGCTAAGAAAGAAATGAAAGACATTTAAGCATCTTAAGTCTCTATTACTGAGGAAGAGCATAAGGATACTGTCTAAAACTTCATTATTTTAAGTGTATTTATGGAAATTACAGAAGACAAAAATAAAAATATTAAGTGTCTTATATAATTAAACAAAGGAAAAAAAGTTTTCAGTTAATCCAAAAGAAGGTAAAGTAAAGCAAAGAAAATAAATGGTGTACAGAGTAGTAACATGACTAAATTACATCAGTAAGTAATCATAGTAATGTAAATCACTAGAAGCACAGACTATCAAGCAGGAAAAATGGGACCAGTACAAGTCACAAAATAAATGTACTATTAAAAAGATCTCAATTAATGAGAAAAGAGAAGCTGAAAAAAAATTTAATAGGTGTCTGTGATCAAGGACTAGTAATCAGCATCAACCTGTTCAATGAGAATAAATGAAAAAGCTGGAAAAAGCCTAACACAGACAAATCTTCTTAAAGACTCTTAAATATTCTATTTGCCCTCAGCTATCTCCACTTATATAAAGTGCAAATGGATATGCAGGAGGCAAATCAAAGCTAAGAAATGGTGTGCATAAAAATCATAGCTGCAATTACCTTTAGGGGGACAGAGAGGTATCACAACTGGAGACACTTATTAAAGGGTTTCTTGGGACACAGCACATTTTATTTCTTGTGCTACTTTGTAGTAAACATTTATAATTATTGATTTTGTTGGCAAAGTTTTTGAATTAAAATATATTTTTAAAATTAGGAAAATCTTCATTATTACTACATGCCATTAAAGGGTAAAACAAAATATAAAATAATATAAAATAGTAAAATAAAAGTAGTCTATACTCATAATTAAAATAAAAGTTTTTAAGGCAAAACATGCATAGAAATCTGGTATAGTACCTAAAAGAAGATTTGATTAAGATATAATTAATGTATATTCTTACACAGATGATAATGCCTCAAAGGAGATAAAATAAAAATGAACAGCATTATGAACAGAAAATGAATCTATTATTGTGACATGTAATTTTATATACTGACTGACAGACAGAACAGCAAAAAAGATTTGGCTAAGATATAATTATATTCCTATACAGATTGAGCAGACAAAAAATGTTGGCAACAGAGAAGATTAAAAACATGTATTATGTATATATGTGTGTACATACATGTATATTACAACTCTGCATCATAAATTGAAAAAGAAAGTCTTTTAAAATAAAGATTACTCATAAGTATAGTAATAATCAACTGTAAAAGTGATTAAATTTTGGAACAGGCTATTTCAGAGAGCAAAGAAATCTCTCTCTAAGTTCAGAAGCCCACTTCTTTCCTGAAGGAACTTCTTCCTCAAGTTAGAAACTGGTGATGATTAGTTTCTTATACTTAGTTCCATGATCTACACTCAAATTAGACACTTGATCACTTCAATTAACTTATCATTCTGGAAAAGAGCAGATCACTGCCTGCTAATTTATAACATTATACTAACTTATTTGTTTAATACTAAAGTCAATGCTATTTCATATACATTTTCAGACTGTTTGAATTTCTCCAATTTTAAATTAAATTAATAAAAATGCTTAAATTAAACAAATTTTCTGTTTCCTTACATTTTCTGAAAATAACTGTCTCCAATGTCAAAAACTGTTTTAATATAGGAAAGTTTATAAAATCAAACTCCTAAGAATAAACAACATTAATCCATTTAAGATTGTGCATAAAATGATATTGTTCTATCACTTTAACATATAAATTCTATATGTGAAAAAAGATGTCTTCAATAAAATGAAATGAAAAATATGCTAACCAATGAAATATAAAATCATAAATATTTTTCCTATTAAATGAACAAACATAATATAAATTTAAGTCTAGCTGTCAACAATTGTTCTCTTAATAACTGAGTGACTATAATTTATACACATACCTTATTTAATTTTGTATTTTATTAATGATTTTATGTGTAAGAGTGGTTTGCCTGCATGTATGTAAGTGCATCTGTAATGTGCATTGCCCATGGAGGTTAGAAGAGTACTTGTGGGGGTTCTTTTTTATATTTTAAATTTTTTTATGTGTATGAGTGTTATGCCTGCATGTATGTAAGTACACCCATGTGGTGCAGTGCCCATGGAGGACAGATGAGGGTGCCGGGGTCCCCTGGAACTGGAGTCACAGACAGTTGTTAGCCACCATGTGGGTGCTGGGATTCGAACCCAAGTCTTCTGCAAGAACAGCCAATGTTCTTAACCACTGAGCCATCTCTCCCACTTTGTGGGGGTTCTTTTACAGGAATTTTCAATGTTTTCAAGACAGAAGAGACTGAAACTCATAATCTTCCTTTAGAAATAACATACCTTGATATAACAGCTGTAACAAGTAGCATCTTATACCAGATTTCCTTTTTACTTTAAAAAAATTATTGAGAATTTCATACATGCATATAAGGTGTTTTGATAAACCAGAAAAAGCAGGCAGGCAACAGAGTTTTAAAAACGTTGTAGAAGTACTGAAATATAAGATGTCTATTCATTAACATACTTTTTATTAGAATTGACAAAAGGCTAGATTTAGATTTTGGGGGGGGGCAGTCTTTTTGAGACAGCATCTCCCTGTAGCCCCAGCTCTCCTGGAACTTACTATGTAGACCAGGCTGACCTTGAACTCACAGAGATCTGCCTGCCTCTGCCTCCCGAGTGCTGGGATTAAGGCATGCACCACCATGCCTGGCCATTTTTTTTTTTTTTAGATTTAGATTGTAATACCTGTGCTCTTCAGGAAGGCAGTATATTTTTCTAACTCTTCATATAGTGCTAAGAAATACAAATTTTCAATTATTCTATCAGAGTTTTTGCTGGTAGTTGTTCACTCATCTTCCTTTTATTTTACTCTAAACATATGATTAATAAAGATATAAAATTGCTTTGTACATTTTAGTCTTCTCATAAATCTAGAAATGTAAAAGTCTGGCTTCATTGCATCTTATTGTAGTCAACAAATTCCAAAACATCTGAAATAACAGATATAGCTTTCTATAAAGAAGTAACATTATCAAATCTAACAGAAGAGGGATATACACATAAAAAACATTTAAAGTATTGTACATACACTATTGGTAGGAGAATGGTATCCATAAAGTTGAAGACGCTGACACAGAGCACAAAGGGCCAAATGAAGTGTCACATTTCAGAATGAACCCAAGTACAGCAAAAGAAAAAAAGAAGACGACAAAATATCAATTAGGAAGGGCAAATCATTATGCTACATTCTATACAAAGCACAAGCACAAGTGAGATAAATGTTAAAGATGAGTAGCAAAGTTTTTAATGTCTAATGTAATTAAACATTAAATGAATTTGTGCTCATTTCAACCTTTTTCACTGTAACTTGAAAGCACTATTGCATTGAGTAACATGTTCCTCTATGTAGTTCTGTTTAGACAGGCGTCAACGCTTTTACAGAGGATGGGAGTTCTGGATCCAGCAGCATGGCAGTGGAAATGGAATGCGAGATCTCGGAATCCTGTCCTGCTACCAACGTTGGACACTAGACAAGTTAATCAACCTGACAGTTTTCTCACCTGGAAAATGGGTATAATACTTACCTGGGAGAAATGGAATGAGGACTACTACATGGGAGTGACATTTGTTATGGATATAGCACAGAGTTTACTCAACATGTGTTCATTTCATTTCTGAAGCAGAGTTTTATTGATATGCAAATATTTAAAATTCAGTTATGAGTTGGATATGTTAATTTTCAGTTTAAAGTAACTATGTGGTTGTTAAGTCTGTTAGCTAAGTTTCTGAATTGTATTTGTATTTCACATACTTGTTAAGAGGCGATGTAATTTAGATCATTTAATCCTCAGAAAATCACAAGTGGTAATCACATTATTCTGTCATTCCAATTGTAAAAATAAAAACCTGAGACAGAGAAGTTAAGATCTTGCTCTAGGGGGCTGGAGGGATGGCTCAGCTGTTAAGAAAATCAGTTGTTCTTGCAGAAGACCTGGGTTTGAATCCCAGCATCCACATGACAGCTAACAACTGTCTGTAACTCCAGTCCCAGGGGATCTGACAGCCTCTTCTGACCTCCGTGGGCATTGCACGACATGGGTGCACTTACCTTACCTACATGCAGGCAATACATGCATACACACATAAAATAAAAATAATAAATAAAATTTTAGAAAAAGAATCTTACTAAAAGTCGAACCCTCAAACCTGGCTCATGAGCCTGGGTTATTGTTTTTTTTTTTTTTTTTTTTTTTTTTTTTATAACCCAGTTTTTTTTACAGTAAGATAAATTTTAGTGGTTTTAAAACTCAACCAAATGCTTCAGACTATGTAGATTTATATTGTCATTTTTATCAACTTGACAATTCCACCTTGCATTTTACATGGTCCTCTACAGCTAAAATAGTATAAAATAAAGTCAGTTCAGATTTGCATTATTTAAAATGTGTTTATTATGTTGAAACCACTTATTGTTATTATTAAAGATGCTAATAGCTAATTATAGGATGCTATATTATTGAAGAGTCCTAACAGAGGCTGAAGTAAAGACTATTTTAGAATAACTTCAAAGAATATTTTTAATAGTTACATTGTATAACTGAGAATTTAGGAGCACTATTTAAATTATATAACATTAACAGCTCTAACGTACCTGTGAAAAGCAGTGACTTCAAAGAAATCCTTTACAGATAGCAGGTTGTTACTACTTATATGTTATTTTTATCTGTTCTTTAAAACTGTTTCCTTCCCACACTTTAAAAAAAATTATTATTTTTATGTGTATGCATGTATTGCCTGCATGTAGGCAAGTGCACTCATGTCATGCAATGCCCGTGGAGGTCAGAAGAGGCTGTCAGATCCCCTGGGACTGGAGTTACGGACAGTTGTTAGCTGCCATGTGGGTGCTGGGATTTGAACCCTGGTCTTCTGCAAGAACAACCAGTGTTCTTAACCGCTGAGCCATCTCTACAGCCCCATTCTTCCCATACATTTTCTATGAAATGCATCACTAACCTATATGAATACAAGACCTGGAGTGTGCTGCTGCGATTCAGATTTCATAATTCACATAGACTTCCTCTAATACAAGTTAATGAAATTTATGTTACTACTATGAAATATTTACATAATATCAATCTTAAAATCCCTTGATCTTGGCTGTGATGAAGCTCAGGGTCAATTTTTGTGTAGATACCGTAGCTGCTTGGTCTGTGTGGTGTAGTACCGTTCTTCCCTCTTGTCTCTCCCTTTGGTAACCGAGCTGTGTGTGTGTGTCTGTGTGTATATATATATATAAAATATTGTTTTTAAATATTTTTATTTTATGTATTATGAGTGTACTGCTTGAATGTATGTGAATGCACCCATGTCATGCAATGCCGCGGAGGTCAGAAGAGGGATTTGGATCCCCCTGGAACTGGCATTAAAGATGGTTTGTAGCTGCCATGTGGGTGCTGGGACTCAAACCCAGGTCCTCTGCAAGAGCAGTCAGTACTCTTAACCACTGAGCCATCTCTCCAGCCTGTGAGCTGCATGTTTTAATAAATGTTAATGATTAGAAACATTCTTTACTTTTTAACAAAATATTTTATTTATTTCCATTTTTATTTGATGTGTATGCGTGTATTGCCTGCATGTAGGTAAGTGCACCCGAGTCGTGCAATGCCTGCGGAGGACAGAAGAGGCCATCAGATTTTAACAAAATATTTTATTTATTTCCATTTTTATTTGATGTGTATGCGTGTATTGCCTGCATGTAGGTAAGTGCACCCATGTCGTACAATGCCCGCAGAAGTCAGGAAAGGCTGTCAGATCCCCTGGAACTGGAGTTACAGACAGTTGTTAGCTTCCATGTGGGTGCTGGGATTCGAACACAGGTCTTCTGTAAGAACAGTCAGTATTCTTAACCACTGAGCCATCTCTCCAGCCCAACATTCTGTACTTTAAACTGAAGAGTTGTTGTATGTCAAAAAAACCTCCCTGTAATCCTGGTATTTAGGTAGTAGACGATGAATATGTTATAATGGATAAAGTAGGATTTCAGAACTGGCCAGATCTAGGTCCAAACTGTGACTATGCCATGTAATAGTTTGATAATTCTGGATAGGATCCTTAATTTTCACAATTATCACTTTCCTCATCCATAATTACGAACAATTAGAGACTTGGTGGGTAGAGTAAATGAGGAAATGCATGACAAGCATTAAACACTGTGTCTGGTGGTAAGGTCTCAGCCTGTTTGTTAGTTTTATTATGTGAACTGGTCTGCTGTCAGACTGAAATACTTGCAACAAATAAAAAGATGGGAATATGACAGAAGGAGATGCTCTTTAATTCCAGCTTCTGAATAAGGTAACAGTATTATTTATCCCAGAAGAATCTATAGTATTTCTAAGAAATAAAAAAAATCACAGTATTTCCGTATCTTTAACATTCATATTGCTACATTTATCAGTAAATTCATTCACATCAAAATTAAATCTTTGCATATTCACCTTTAAATTTTTACATGCATAATGATCCATATTAATCTATCATATGATAAATACCCTTCAAATATCACAGATAACAACATGGATGAAAATGGTTTAATGAATATGAGTACAGATGTCCAATATCAATATTTAAGATAAACATTGATATTGATGTATATAAGTACTGAAGAAATTTTTCTATATTAAAAACTTCAGAAAGATTTCAAGAAAGGAACAGCTATAAAGTTGCAAGCTTTGCAGCTTCTCAGTATGAACACAGTATTTCTCACCTGGAAGACACATCTGAAACTACTACAAAGTGTTTCTTACCAGCATTGCACGCTTTTCTTCATCTCCTTTAGTTTCTCTCTTTTCATTTTTCTTCCTAAATATCTCTTGAAGCTGTAAGGAAATAAATCAGGAACCAAGTTCCATCAGAGTTCTGTGGCACTCACCTTATACTAAGTATATCTTAAAAATAAATAAAAGTCTTATTTAAACAAGAATATTTAAACTTCTCTAGATGTATTTTCTTCTTGAAGTGTTTTTCATAAGGAAAAGGAAATACATTTTTGGTACTACCAACTCACAGGTAAGTTAAGTGTATTTACTATTACAATTTTATTTGAGCTCTATTATGTTACATATTCTGAGGCACACACAGAAAAAGAGATGAGTTCTGTTGGGCTTAACAAGCACTGAAACAGCCCTTGAGGACTCTGGATTTGAGTGCAGCTTTTGGGTCCTGCACTTCTTATTGCTATTTAATTTGTTCATTATGAAATGATGAAGAACATCACCTCCAATATTCTTTCAGGTCATGAACCATGATGGTAGGAGAACAGACTACAGGCTTCACTCCTTGGATAAGTTAAGTATCTAATGCTCATTTTCTGTATTTGGAAAATGAGGAATATCTCTTACTTTATAGAATGCTATATGAAAGAAATATTATAAGTAATTATTCAGGAAATTGGCTATTATGTAGTAATTTCTAACTTAAGTGTTACCTATTGCTATAAATAGTATTATTCTTTAAAAGCCTACAATTTTAAAATGGAAGCCCAATCCTACTTCTTTTATTAGTTTTCTGGACAGTTCACTATTCTTATCTTTATAATTTGAAGAACAATCTCAATTCCATTTCATTTTACTCTTTGTTTTTATTGTGTGTGTGTACAAGTATGCGCATGCACACAGAAGTCAAGATGTCAACAATGGGTATCGAACACAATCACTTTCCATCTTTTGAGACAAGGTCTCCCACTGAACTTGAAGTTGAAGGATTAGCTAGATTGCCTGGCTAGCAAGCCCTAAGGATCCTCCTGTCTTTGCCTCCTCAGCACTGTGTGCTATTGTGTGTGACTTCCTATATGGGTGCTGAGAATCTGAACTCAAGTAGTCCTTACGCCTGTATGGGAAGCACTTTACTGACTAAATCATCTGTCTCAGCACCTTTATTTCATTTTATACAGTAATAGCTGAAAGTTAACTCATACTTGCAGTAATAACAGTCCAATTCTACCTCTTGCTTTCAAGAAGACCGTGCAAACAGACAAGCAAATATCAAACCCGAAGTTTCAGTAGAGCAACCGAAAAGAGCAGATTACAGCTTTGGGGCAAGGGCAACTTTTGCAGGAGTATAGCGTAGAAACAAACAGGAGGTAATGGGAATGCTTTTATTTCAATCATACAAGCAGATGACATTCCAAAAGATGGAATAAAAAACTCTCAAGGACTTAATTCTCCAAAAGTTGAACTTTCTGTCACTGGGGAATGGAACTCAGAAGTGTTGATTTAGAATGCTTATTCAAAATTATTCAGATAAGTAGGCCTATTCTGAAATAAAGAAAATAGTTATTTACATGCCAACTTTTTCCTTTCTTTTAGGAGAACAGTAAAGATGGGACTGACCATATATGTTAAGGGCAGAATTTGCTACTCTAAGAAATAAATTAACATTACTTTGAGTTTAGAACAAAAGCAGAGCAAGCAGTTTGTCACAGAAACAGATGTGGGATACACAGGTAAAAAGAAAAACAATTCTGGAAGGGGAGAAGAGAAAGTGAGCAGCTGAAGGCACTGTCAGATTAATGCCAAGGTCGGGCAGGAGGTGCAAAAGATTGAAGGCCAAAGCCCTTGGCCATAGAGGATGGGAACAGACAACTGGGTCCGGATGTGGCAGTAGTGAACAAGAAAATCTCCTTGTTGATGAGCAGTGAGAGGACGACTGACAGAGTGGAGACTAGACAGTGACTGGACAACATAACCCCAGGATCACCTTTATCCTTCTAAAGAAAGTGTCTGATAAAATCCAAACTTTCAGGTGCAATATAAACAGCTACATCAATCTTTATATATGGAATGTAATTTATTTACATAATATAAATACTGTTCAAAGTATATATTTGTTTATTACATTAAGGTGAAACTTTTCACTCTATAGCAGTAATCCTAACAATATAAACATAAAAAAGCAATATTTAATTACTATAAAAATGCAGTATATAATGTACATACCACCAGAAACTCCTTTTTATCCACCATTTCATTGCCATCAGTGTCAAACATGTTGAAAGCTATTCTAAAACCGGCATGAGGCTCTGCCATGAAAAACAGAACAAGTTTTCATGAGATGGAAAAATATATTTTAAGAATAAAATCCATGAGTTGAACAGATAGATACATATGTTGCTCAAAATAACCAAGAAATTAAAAACAATGTTCCTATTAAGTTAAATGTAGTGAAAGCTATATTGAAATACACATTTATCTTCTTCATGTTTTAGCAGAATTGATAATAATAACAATCCTTTAAAATACTTGACTGCAAATACTTATTACATGGCATTAAAAGAACAATTTGAAAAAAAAAAAAAAAGAACAATTTGACAATTTTCCCTCTAAAAGTAAACATCAAAAGTCTGTCCACTAAGGAAATACTAAGGAAATATTTCCTGTATGTTAAACTACTTGAAGTGACAAAATATAATTGAAACATAACACAATGTACCAGTTCCAATTCTCAGAAAATTTTAGCTGAAGCAACCTATGGGATAAATGTCAAGCATGAAAGTTTACAGATTTGGGGTTAAACTTCTAGAGGCTTCAAAACCAGAAGCTTTTAGTAAAAAGATGTTTGAATATTTAATTCCCAGGACCTCCAAAATATAAGAAACAATTATTTTTCTGAGAAAGTCTTTCATGTACTCTTAATGGACTTAATTTTGTGAGCCTTATAATGAGACTGTTTCCTCTTTTCACTTCTAGGGTTTAAACAAGAAACTTGGACATGAGAAAGTACAAAGTGCTCTGAGAGGGACTCAGTGCACAGTGTCTTTCTCAAAACTATCTGACTTTTTGAAGTGGATAGCAAAAAGTTCATCAATGGACCCCCACTGATGAACTTGCTAACATTCTATGAAATCCGGAACTTTGTAAAAGAAGCACACAGCCCTACTTTCTTAATCCCACAAAGCTGCCTCTGGAAACAACAGAAACTGAAGACAGTCTTACCTAAGTGAGCTCATTTCTTGTATGTGTTTTATGAACCTGAGCTCCTAAAACTTTTTAAAAGTCATTCACAGAAACTGATACTGTCTCTGATAAGTAAGTTTTAAGCATTTAGAAGATTGAAAAATATAAATACACAAACTAAGTCCTTATAAGTATGGTTTAGAAGGAAAAAATAAAATAATCCAAGGAGGAAGCACTTGCAGACATGTACCACAGACCATGTGATTCACTTTCTGCCAGCCCTTTTTCACATTTTTCTTAGTCCTAATCAACTGACATCCCATAATTTTTCTATCAAAGTCTTTGGAAATTTCTTACAAATTCCAAAGGAAATTTCACAGTTCTAAAAGATTTAGTCTCCCTGTAGTAAGGGAAAACTCCTGTGTGCTCCTTCTGAACGCCGAACCACGGCCTGCCCATCTCGTAGTCTTTCTCCCTAGCACTGTGCTTCTCATTCCCCTGACCCTCTGCTTCTTTATTTATAAGTTCCAGTCTTGCATCTGAAAGGCTGTTCTGGCTAAAAGGCTGATTTTTAATATGTCTTTGAGACACTCCTTGCTGCCCACTTTAATTCCACAATAGTATACAGACAGCATAGACTGGACTGCATCATCGCTTGTTTTCAAACTGGATCAATCTCAGGGGCCCTAATATCAATGATACAATACTTGTGCCTCAGCACTAAAATTTTATTCTCATTTGGAGCCCATAAAAAAAACATAAGAATAAAAGGATGATTTTTGACATGTACATGTGTGCACATGTACACAGTCCTCCTTTTCTCTGCTGTGCTATTAATTACTAAGTAAGAACAGCACAGTATTATAAATTGTCTAAGCATAGACATAGAAGATATTTTAAAATGAGTTTTACTGATGCTCTTGTTTGCATACATCTCCTAAAATCTCCTCATCTGGAATTCCCCACAGCAATATTTTCTCATCTTTTTTTCATTCACTATTTATTTATTTATTTATTTATTTATTTATTTATTTATTTATTATTACTTTATGTGTATGAGTGTTAGCCCTGCATGTAAATGCACCTATGTCATGCAATGTCTGTGGAGGACAGAAGAGGGCATTAGAGTTACGATGGTTGTTAGCTGCCATGTGGGTTCTGGGATTCGAACTCAGGTTTTCTGCAAGAACCACTAGTATCTTAACTGCTGAGTCATGTCTCCAGTCCCCTCACCAGCTATTATTTGAGAAGGTAGTATGGATAAGACATTGTTCTTGACAGAGACAGCCAAAAGGGTTATTTTGTCACCATAGACCTTGCCCTGCAGTATGGAGAGACAGATCATGTAAACCAATAGTACTCTGAAATACCCAAGTTCTACAAAGAAAATAAAGCATGGAAAAGGGATTGAAAGAAAGAAGGGCAAGGGAGGTATTTTAGGAATATGGCCCAGTAAGATTCTTTTCATCTTTTAATGGAAACCTGAGTGACGTCATTTTCTTCTAGAAAGCACTGATGGTTTTAAAGAGCAGACAGTACTGCTCTGAAAGAAGGAACAGAAAGGCCGGTGGCTGGAGCAACATAATATTGCACACAATTTCCCTATTAGATGAAAAGAAATTAAACACAAAGCTTTAGAAATCTTTATCAGTTTCATGAGAATTGCCACATATGCATGGAAGAGAAGAGCAAATACTTTAGGAGGCGGATGATGGGTATTTGGAAGACTCAGCAGCGGTTAGGTGACTCAGAACTCATTCTTTTATATTAGGCTTGCAGAACTCCTGATTCAAATGAGTACATTAGAAACTATAAATTATTACATGTCTTCACCTTTAGGATCTCATGTAGATGAAACCCCAAAAGAGTAATATGTTATAATTTATGAATCTTTTATTACTATATCACAAGCCAAATATTTGTTTCTGACTCTGACAGTGTTAGACACTTTGCAAAACAGCTAAAATATACATAAGGCGATTTTCAATTGTATGGGAGCTAAGAGAGATTCTTTCCTAAGATTAGGAATAAAAAAGAAAACTATATTTAGAAATAGATTTAGTGAGGGTACTTACTTGTTAAAATACATAAAAGAAAAAGATATTCCGTGTAAGAAATCACACCTAGAAGAAAACAGTATAATTATGCTATGTAAAATATTACTTCATATTCCATAAACATCAAAGTAAAATATTCTAACAATAAATGCTATGAATAGCAGTGAGAGTTTTAAGGTATATGCTAACTACTGTTTTAGATGATATTACAGTATTATAAAATCATTGCAAAAGTAGCAAAATTAATTTTATTTAAATTGCTCCACATCCCACTACAAAAAAAATACCTACAAAATTTTCATGATATAAAACATAGTATAAATGAAAGCAAACTGTTAATGTTTATTTATAGTCTTTCAAACTTGCTCATTGTTACTCTATGAAGCTAACATAAAATAAAGGTCAGCAATGGTTAATACTACAAATAAGAGCTTAATCGGAATAAAACATTTATATCGTCTTCCTTAGGAAATGACGTTTGTACTACATTAGAAATAAAACCTTACATCTACTGGTTTTCTGCTGTCAAATTATCATTTATTACTTTTATAACACAGCTTTTATTAAAATGACTCTACAAAATGTTTATTTAAATTCAATGGTTCTTTCTTTATGTGCCCTGAATTCTGAGTTCTCTGTCACTCCATAATTATAAACTCCACAAAGAATTTGTATAAAATAAATAAAAATACACATTCTGTTACTTCACTTTTCACTTTAAGGTTGTAACTCCTAGAGCTAGAATTAACACCTTACTTGACAATCCAAATAAGTACTGAAAAAATTAATATCAGGAATAAGCCCTAGAATACTTCCCTAGATAGCAATCAGTTTTGATGTTTGATAAATGGGTATGAAGAAAAGACTGTGGACTTAAAATCTTCCTTTTATCTGATGTTCTTTGAGGCTACACTCTTTGTTACAGAACAAAGAGAAGAAGAGCCACTGTCAGGTAGTTTGTCAGAGACGTGAAGGGAACTACCCACCAGGTTCTGAAAGCATTCTCGTTTTCTGTTTATACTAGAATACTGTGACCTATAGACAGATAGTTCTGGATGACTGCCATGAATGTTATGGGAGAAAGATTCTGAAACGGTCAATGGATATAAAGATACAATACTTAGAGTCCATAGTGATCTCGCTCTCAAAAAAAAAAAAAAAAAGCCATAAATACAAGAGGGACATGGGTTTGGGAAATGAACTTGCTATCTCCAATTCCATCTCACTACTGTTCAAATTTACTTGGAATAGCACGAAGAATTACTAAATGGTATGAAGAACTTTAACAATATCAGGTTTTTTTTTCAAATTCAGAATTCAATTGTTTTATTCATATTTAGGAAGATGCTCATATAAGAATAATTTATATTGTACTTATATAAGCAAAGCCATCAAGTTCTTTCCTCCCTTCCATGAACTCATTGTATGATATTGCATTTAACTTCTTTTATTAAAGGTAAACAAACTGGAAGAATAAGGATCAATTTTTAAAACTGAGATGAGGGAAAAGAAACATATTACTAGGTGCCAATATTTCAAGTAGTGAATAAAAATGCCATTGTTAAGAGCATATCAAGTACTGACTTTTCATGGCTTAAAAAGGACTACATAGACAGCCAGTAAGACATTCACATTAGGGTATCTCTATGAAAGTTATTAATTTGAAGCTGTTCTATAGAGTCTCTGCTCATCCAAGCAGACACAACTACTCCTCAACTCAGCTAATTCTTTCACAGGACTTCTATTTATCCCAAGGGCCACTGAAGCCCTCTGTGCTCCTAGCGCTACGCTAAGTGCCAGGATGCAATGGTGAGCAAGAAGGTAACTGTGACTCATGGTGCTTTCAGTTCAGTGAGGGCCACAAACATCCATCTTGTTATTATACAAGTATGCAACTTTGATTTGACGCTTAATTCAAGATTTCTCTCACTGAAGATTATTTAACGGGGGATTACATGATTGTGGATAGGGTAGGCACTTGTCTGTAGGGCTACCTGACTACTGAGCTGCCTTAATATATTGGAAGGGAGAACAAAGTGATATAACTGAATGAAAATGGTCAAGGAAAAGAGAAAATACTGCTGAAGATGATCTACAGATTCACAATGCTTCCTAACCATAAACAGGAAACCAGAATACTATCCTTTCAATTTACTTAAGGTTACCCAGGATCAAAAATTAAAGTCAAATGTTAAGTAAATGGTAATGATACAATCTTTAGAAGCAAAGGATAGGGAAGATGTCAACTAAATCCTGGAAATCAAGAGGCAGGCAGAGGCTTTTGAGTTCAAGGCCAGTCTGGGCTATATAAAGAAACCATGTCTGGAGGAGGGGAAGGGAGAAGATATGTCAGCTAGGTTTCTTTTAAAATTTTAATTAAAAAATGTAAAGGAGTTTCCTTAAAAAATTACATTGTTAAATTCTTGTTTCTTGATCTAGTATATCTATTACATGTTTTCATAAATGTTGCATATCGTTTTAGGAAACTGTATAGCATTGTAAGTGGATAAAGTTCATTTTTAAATTAATTTTCAGTAGCTTTAAAGATTTAGTTCAAAAATCTCCTGTCATTTAATCTTTATATATACAGAAAATAAGTAGTTCTATGTTTCTTTATTTTACCTAGCACAATGGTTCTAGACTATTACAGGATCATGGTATGATAATCTTGCTAATTTGAAGAGTATATTATAGAGCCAAACTATTTTATAGGGTAACCACTAACCAGTTGTAATCAATAAGTTAAAATTAATCCCAGTAAAACTCAGTTCCTCAGTTACAGTAACTACACCTGAAGTGTTCAGTAGCTACAATTGGCCAGTGGCTTCTAAACAAGACATCACAGAAAGACAAATATTGCCATCACTACAGACAGTTCACTGTAAAGTCCTAAATGAATTCTCTCCTCCAAAAACAAAAACAGGAAGAAAGGAAATGTGCACACAGCTTGAGGAGGGTTGGGTCTTCCAGATTAAACCATTTATTTAAGTAAAAAGATTTCCTTCTATACAATTGTTTTTCTAAGATTGAATTTGATACAAGTTGTATTTTACCATGAGATATATTAAGAAAAAAATTTTGAAATTCATCATACTTACCTATTGATTTTGGGTTTTGAATATTCTTGATCCTATTATCTCATTTTAAAATATGAATAAAAAATTTCTAAGAGTTTTTGTTTTTATAGATGAGGTCTTGCTATGTAGCCTAGGCTGGTCTCAGACTCGAGATCTTCCTTCTTCAGCCTCTAGAGTAGCTGGTATTAGTGGAACATATCACCACACCCAGATCTCCAAAGAGTGCTTTAATACACCTTAGTTTGGGTTCTTCAGTATTTAAATATCCTAGTTACAAAAAAATCTACAATGAAAGAAGTGTTTCTTTTATTCAGGTTCAATGTGAACTAACTGGAAGTATTTGAATTTTCAGTTCTATTCAGATGTATATGAACTATAACTCCCTTAAAGTATTTATGATGCTAAAGTATAATGTATTTAAGTCAATGTGCATTAAGATTGATGAAAAAATATAACTACTATGATGGTTAATACTGATTTTTCAACTTGACAGGAGACAAGCCTCCCTCTAGGCACACCTGTGAGGGATTATCTACACTAGGTTAATTGCGATGGGAAGACCCACACAGAATGTGAATGGTTCCAGCTCATGGGCAGGGGTCCTAGACTCTATAAAACAGAGTAAGGTAGCTGAGCATGAGCAGTCCCTGTTCTCTGTTCCTGACCATGGATTCAGTGTGACCAAATGCCTCCAATTCCCATGGCCATGACTTTCTCACCGCGATGGACTGTTTTCTTGCATTGGAAGTCAAACTAAACTCTTCCTTCCTTAAGCTGCTTTAGTCAGGTATTTTGTCCTAGCAAGAAGGAAAGTACTGAATATAAATGCTTATATATTTCCTTTAATATTTTCCTTTTTTGTGTGCTTGTATTTGGGATTATATACAAGTATCTTTCTAAGAAACATTCCCTTTTAAGATTAAAGACATTTTATTAATTTTTCTTTAAACATGTACAGAAATACATTGTGAAAGCAAACAGCAATTAAGTCCATGAAATTCTCTTTTCTTTTTTGAGTCAGGCAATTATGTACCACAAGCTAGTCTTGAACACACTATGTAGTCAAGGCAAGCCCTAAAGTCCTGATCCTCCTGCCCTCACCTCTACAGTGCTGGGATTAGAGATATTCTCTACCTAGCATGTGTCATTTAATCTGACTGCATGCTATTGTAGGTATTAACAAATTAATTTAGGTACCTGAATATTGATGACAGAGTTAAGTTGAAGCAGGTGGATTTTACAATGAGTACTGTACATAAAAGGAACACATTCAAATTTGGCTGCTAAAAACCTGCCAGGTGTGTGGTAAAAGATTTAATCCCAGCACTTGGAAGGTGAAAGCAGGCAGATTTCTGTGAGTTTCAGGCCAGCCTAGTCTACATAGTAAATTCCAGGGCTGTAGGGCTAAATAGTGAGACTATTTGAAACAAATAAACAAAACCAAACAACACCCTCCCAAACCTCCCATATCCAATAAGTTTTGCATATTTATTAAATTCAGAAATAACTGTAATTTCCTAGGAGCAAAATGGAAGAAAACTAACATTTGAAGATCTAATGTTTATAAAAATGCTTTCTATGAGCAAATATAACATGCTTTTCAGTATGGGTGAAAATAATTTTTTAAGCTGAATAGGTCATTTTCTGGTAAATACATGAAAGATAAATAATATAAATAAATAGTCCTTAATTACACTATGCCAAAATAATATTACTTATACAGAAACATTTTGTGGTACTCTTTTCAGTTTTCTTCTCTCTATATACATCCACATACATGTAATTTTAAGGCATGGAAAAATATGCATATATGAACAGTATAAAAACAGTGTCAACATGAAACTGCATAGGTTCTAAAGTTAGCTTACCTCTTTCTTTAAGATTTCGAAACAGCTTTGATGATCCCTTCCAAACTGGTGGTGTTTCTGAGAGCATCTGATTTAGTTCCTATGAAATAAGGTATTGCAATACTGATTAATACTCCAATTTCTTATGCCATAAATTAAAAAAAATTAAAGCATCCTCCCTGGCAAATTCTCCATTTAAAAGACCAGAAATGTTACATTAATCATTTAATTCTACGCCTGTGGTCCAGTTTAACTACAACATTTGACTACAATGCAAATATAAATGATAAAAATGCTCCAAAAAAAGCTCAAAATTTCACATAGCTTTAATAGCCAGAGATACATATAGACAAGATAATCAAGTTAAAATACAGCAGCAAGCTTGAATTCTGGAGCAGGTTCCAAGAGGAGAGTTTATAACTGCCATACAGATTTCCTCATGAAAGTCAGAGGCGACCGGCTGGCTCCACATTCTTCTTTGCAGCACTCCTGGATTAACAGGAGTTTGTGTAGAAGAAGTAAATGAGCAAAGGAACATGCTAGGGAGGAATAAAAAGTGTTTTAATGGTGACTCAAAAGTGCTGACATTGGATAAACTCGGAAAACAGTTACTGTGACCAACTTTAATTTTATTTTCAAATGCTGCTTACTCATCATTATAAAGGTCAAATTATTACTGCTGCGAGAAATTACTGCAGCATTCACATTAAAAAATTTTGAATGTGTGTGTATTCTGTAAAGACAATAAAAAATAACAAACTGACAACTATAATTTCATTAACTGTGAAAAAACAATGAAAGGATTTGGTAAAACAGTGAAATAACTTGAAATTTAAAAGTTACTTTGTTTTGTGACAGATTTTTTTTAAATGCAGAAACTACTCCAATTTGAGATGTTCATTTGTCAAACTGTGTTTCCCAACAATCTGGGTGTCACCAGGGAACTTATAGAAATGCAGAGTATCATTTCCTCTTCTAGACCCGTTGAACACTGTATTCCTCACAGATCTGGAGATTTTTATGCACATTCAAGTTTAAGAATACTTCAAACCTTTCCTGGTGCAGCAGAACCTAGAAAGTACTCTGAGATATTTATAAACTATCTTTTCTTTAATTGCTAAGCTGGGGTATTAGGAAAATGAAAGAATCCCTGGGATACCAAAAGCAGAAACGCGTGGACTTCTGCACTCATTTTGTACATGAATCTGCTCTGCTGGTAACAGATGCTACCATGTGATAAGCAGGTTCTGATGGGGGGAATAATAGAAACTATGATGCTTACTATTTAGACAAAACTAAGCATGTGTTTTTTGTTAGAGTAAGATACACCTTCAATACATTTTACATCTTGAATTTATACCATCTCTGTTGTATAAATGTTAATATTTTCCATTTTAACAATGTCTTCTGGGCTTTGTTCTAATTTAAAAAAAATAAGTTACCTTTATTGAGTATCCTCTATGTGATTAACAATGGACTCACAGTAGCTCATTTAAATTGAACTAATCAATTCTCATGCATATTTTACTTAAGCCTAAAATGGTTAAGTAATTTACTCAAACTAGTCACACAGTAATAAATCACATAAATAGATCCTTACCAACTCCAAATAGCTTCTTTTAATAAAATTATACTTTCTCCAGTTCTAGATCATCTAGTTGCTAATAAGATCTCTTTTTATTATCTGCCTACTTTTGGGAATTTTATTTACCAAGACCTTGGACATCATTCATGTGGGTAATCTGTCTCCTCACTCTCAAAGCCTAGCTTGCCTATTGTGCTACAGTGTTTTGTCCCTGACTCCTAGGAGGGAGATTCAAAATCCTTGAGTTACACTTGAAATACTCAGGATGACGTTTGGTCATTAGAAGAACAATTCTGATTAGAAAGTTGGGGTGCTGAGTCAGCTCAAAGTCTTGGGAGAGGAGAGAGGCAAAGACTGAGGTACAGACAAGTTTAATGGTTCAACACTTGTATCTCAGTAATAAAATCCCAGGAAAAATTCTGGACACCAAGCTCACTGGAACTTGATGAACTGTTTTGTGCTGGGAAGGTGAGATTTACCCTGATTCCACATGGAGAGAGAACAGAAAATCTTTGTCAGAACACTCCCAGATCCAACATTTTTCTTTTCGTTTGGAAGGTCTTAATTTATGTTCTTTATAATAAACTGCAAAAATAAGTATAGCATTTTTCTGGGTTCTGTGAGACATTTTAGCAAACTATCATATCAGATGGGAGTTGTTGGAACTATTCTGAAATTGTAACCAGTTCGGTAAAAATATGGTTGGCCTGGAGACCCCTGCTTGTGTTTACCAGCGGAAATGAGAGCAGTCTTTGGAGGCACTCTGCTCTTAAACTTCTGGAGTTGGACACTGACTCTGGGAGGTCCGTGTCAAAACTGTATTGTAGTATTCCAAATAACCAAATACACAATTGTTAAATTAAATTTACTTTATTAAAGTTATAGACACTTTGAAAGGTATTTATATAATTTATATAATTGTAGAGATAGAAAAGTTATAATTTAAATGCAAATCAAATTTATATTTTATTTAACATTATTTTAATCTAACTCTCTAGCTAGGCATCTTTATTAAGTATTTTTGATTGTAAATATTAAATTGTTATTCTCTAGATGCTGCTTTGTAATTTACACTTTGTCCTTTACATAATATGGACTTATTTTCCTGTCAGTCTTAATTTTCATATTAATGGTTACACAGAAATTGTTAAAACAGTTCTGAAATTCAACTCTACATTTTAAAAAGTACTAATGACACAAAAGATATGTTTATTTGTACTGTATTTGAATGTGAAAAATGAAAAATTTCAAATAGAAGCATACAAAGCACACACTCCATCAGCTGTCAGAGTGATGACATTACTCATCATGTAGCCTGCACTGCACACTTCTGAGAGAATGAGATTGAATAAAGCGCGTGACTTCTCAGAATTCCCAAAATGACCGACTTCATAGGTCCTTGAAAAGGCCTTTGCAATTTAATGTACTGTCAGGCTACAGTTTTCTGACCCTTGCTCTTTTGCTTAATCTTACATGTGTTAGGTTTAAAGCTTGACAAACACACAGTTCTAGTATATTTACTCACTTTAATCCATTATCCTTGTATGTCTATTTTATAATTTTTTGATCCATTTTTCTAATGATTAAGTAGTTTCTAAATTTTTGCTCCTCCAACTAATGTGTCAGGAAACATGAGTAAGATACTTGGTGTAAATGTTTTTCTAGTATACATACCTAGAAGTAGGACTTCAAATAGCATTTTCAATTTTATTAGGTGATATCAAATTTCTCTCAAAACTGAACACATCACTTTATTTTTTCACGTGGCTTCTTCTTGTTTATGCTAATTATTAACACTGTCAAATTTTTGAAAGCTAACAATCTGCTGGATGTGAAATACAGCATCACTGGTTTAATTTGTCTGTCCTTGGTTATTAGTGAGGTTAAACTCCTTTACATTCCCTTGTTGGCTATTCTGGCTATACGTGTCTATTTCTTATTGTGCAATATTTTTTTAATATCAAGGTACACAAATTTTTTATGAATAGAAGATACTCTTTTCAAGTAGCTTTGTGGCACAAATTTATTTTCCCAAGCATTAAATTTCTTAATATCTTTTAACACTGTTGATGTTTTGGCACAAAAAGTTTAAATATTTAATTTAGTGAAATTTGCCAGTAATTTGAATTTTCCTTTATGTATCCTGTCTGAAAAGACCATTTCACATTCTCCATTTTTGGCTGTTTACCACTCAGAATTTTTATCACAAATAAGAACTCAATCAAAAAACAAAAACCCCAACTGATATTGAGAACTCTGGTATTTCTCTTGGTGTTTTCTTGTCCCTCCAGGCAACAAGTCTATATTCATTATGATTCCCTTTAAAGATTTGTTGAGTGTGTGTGGGGGTGGGAGGGGGAGATCATGGATTTCCTTTAGAAGCTGCTAAAAGCTTCTGTTTTTACTTCTGCTCAGCACTGGCCACATATATACTCAGAGCCCACTGCTTGCTTTGGGAGGGCCGGTACCACTCCCTCTTTCTTAAGGTGCTGGCTCCACCTTTCCCATAGAAGAATTCCTTTAACTGCAGTACATCTGGGTCTGACACAACCCCACACAGGAACAGGGTCAGCATCTACTCAGATCTGACATTTCAGCTATAGTGCACCAGGACTTCCCCTGAAACTGTGGGGAGAACTCTTTTCTTTGGAGTTCTAAGGTAGTAGGGTGTAGGTCCTGAGTAGATAGAAGTCATCATTTCTCCCACATTTTGAGGGTGTTCCTGGAAGGAAACAGGCATACTTCTGATATCCTCTGAGTGTCTACAAAAAAAAAAAGACTTATTTAAAACTTAAAGTTTCTATTTTTAAAATTTTATGTGTATGAGTGTGTTGCCTAGATGTATGTAAGAGTGCTACATGTGTGAGGTGTCTGCAGACACCAGAAGAGGGCATCAGATCCCCTGGATCTGGGGTTACAGGTGGCTGTTAGCTGCCATGTGGGTCCTGGGAACTGATTCCAGGTCCTCTGCAAGAGCAGCCACAGTGCTCTTAACTGCTGAGCCATCTCTCTAGCCCCAATAACAAGGATTTCTTGAAGCCCACTGACATTTTGGTAGAATGGATTGAGAAATTCAACCACTTGCATTATATTCCTTCCTTTTCCTACACACGGTAAATTTGATTAGAATTTAATTAGAATTTGATTAGAATTTAAAATTTTCCAAAAATCCAAGAAATTTGTTAGCTCTGGATCCAAGTTAAGTTTGTGTGGATCCTTAGAATTAATATAGGAGAAAATATAACTAAAGGAGAAAAACAGATATGAGTATCTCACATTCTATTTCTCAGTCCCTTGGAGTTTTTTATGTATCTCCATTACTTCTGTGAAAGAAGGTATGTTATCTCTTTGAATACTAAAAATCCACTGAAAGGTTAATTTTTACCAGAAGACAGTTAAAAATGATGAATCATTGAATTTGTTTATAATTACAGCTGATTTGTTCACTGGACTATCAATCTACTTACCTAGCTCTGACAGTATTTTGAACTTACTACGTAATTAAACTAATTATC